GAAATGCCTGCTCTGGACATTAGTGAGCTTAGTGGTTTCTGTGACCAACGCCATCAGACTAGCACCCCCACACTGTACATTTCTGTGACGTCTTGCATCCTTTTTAGACCATCATGGCCGGTTTGTGGAGAGGTATGGTATCGGTCATGTCACCCTAACTCCTTGGTGGCCTCTGCAAACCAGGCTTTGCTGCCGTGGGGACATGATCATATGTGTTCTTTGGTTGGAATCTCCTAGATCCCAGCGGAGAGCAGCCACTGAACACAGGGAAGGCCAGGGAGCGCCAGCCAGCTTCCACGTTCTCCCCGCCGTACTCCTGGCTGGCCCCCTAGCTCCTGTGGCTTCAGGTCTCTGTCACCACATCTGTCTGTGCTGCTGGATCTCAGATCACTGGAACCCTCAGGGGGGAGGGGACCTCTCTGCCCAGTTCTACAAAACCTTATGCTGCACCAGACATCCAAAGATTATTCCGACAGACTTCCTGGTGACCCCTGGTGTGAATGAGAAGTCACCACTGAGGAATTACGTGACTTACAGATGCAGAGTCTGCAACAGAAAAAGCAGCGTTTCTCGAGTCTGAAGCGGCTACTAGAAAGCTGTCTTTACTGCAGTTGCTTTTCATAGTAAAACCATTTGATGCCTGAATAGTAACCCTATTTTTCATAAAGACAAGAACTCTATTTTTTTTTTTAATTAAAGCAACACCACCTTTGACTGCGATAAGGTAGTAGCCATGTTTTAATGGAAATTCTTTGTTACAGACAGCTGCCTCCCTCACCCGTCGGATCGTAAGGTAGATAGATGGTGGTCTAAGCCTACGCTTGTTACTTAAACACAAAACTGCCAAATCTTCTCTCTACTGTCGTGAATGTTTACCATCAGCATTATTTTATGATTATTTAATATATATTCCTTGATTGTTAACTGCTAAGAAGTTGACTTCCTAGGATAATTTTGTGAATCTGTTTACAAGATGCCAAGCATCCAGTCCTGTTTTCTTTAGAATGTGTGCTTACACGGGTGTCGAGACTTTCTCTATTTTAAACTGAGCCTCCTTTTTAATGTAAATAAGCTCTCAGAGTTTGTGCGACGATTCGTGAGCCTTGCCGGACAAGTGGTTTGTTCATGGGCAAACCAAACATACCTTCACCCAGTGCAATATATTTGTGTGACTGCTTGTGTCTTTTTATGACTTTTTTGCCTTTTAGAGAATTGTTAAATAAAGCAAGTATATTTTTATTTTGAATTTTATGCTTTGTTTGTGGCGATGGTGGTGGGGATTCAACCCAGGACCTCATGCAGATTGCGCATATGCTCTACCACAGACCTATACCCTAGCACTGAATCTATTTTTAACATAACATAGACCAATAAACCAAATAGAATGACATTGTCAAAAAATATTTTAAAGAACTTCAAAAGTGGTACATTAGGAAATCTTCAGTCCCCAAAGCTAGCTCATCACTTCATGCACAATGTTCTTGGGTGGGCCAGTTCTTATCTGTGTGTCTCTCACATGCACAGCCTTCCTGACTCATTCAAGCCCTTCACGAATTTCCCATAATGCAGATCTAGCCACGCATTCCCTGATCCCTCTCTCTTGATGTCTTCCCACCTGCACGTGGCTGCTTAGCAGATCCACTGAGCTGACCCTCCACTTAGCATGACCCTTGGCACCCACTCCCCTTTAATCCCACCGTTGGTTGGTTTCTTATGTGCTGGCCTCAGAGCTCAGAGCATGGCTGGGTACCATGCTAGAAAAGACTTAGCTACCCTTTGGATCTGTACATAGGCATCACTGGGGGCACAGGCCTCCTACCCTGGCCTTCCTGACTGACAGCCTTGTAAGAACTGCTCTGAAGAGGCCTGCTTCCCTTTTCCTCTCTCCAAACTAGGGTCCCAGGGACCCAAGCAGAGGGACAACATGACACTGGGCCTCACGATCAGCTTCCGGGAGCTCTGAACATGCCACCTGACTGTAAGTGCTGATGTAGTGGTCTGAAACAAAGATTTCCTGGCAGGTATGACTGTTTGACTGGACTGAGCCTTTGGAGGGCTCTAATTGTGCTTTGCTGTGGAACCCAAAGGGCGCCCCTCTCCTTTCTTTTCACACCAAAAGGAAATTCTCTGAGTCTCCTGGGCAGATTGCCCACAAAGTGCTTGGAGTCTGCAGGCCGGCTGCTGCCTTTGTCCCTCTGGGGATTTATGGCCTGTTATTTCTGCTGCTAACTTGTTGCCCTGTGACCACTATGGCCCTGCCCATCCTCTGCTGGCCTCTGTTCCTGGCTCTAGGGGGATCAAAAGGCCCTAATGTACAAGAAGTCTGCATGCAGGCACACTTTGAAGGCAGGGTATGATCCAGGGGACAAATGGCAGAAAGTGATAGGTCAGCTGAGGGAGGTGGACGGGACACGGAGGGTTTCGTGGGCTCAAGATGGGGTGATCAAGCTTCTGGGACAGAAGGTCTAAGCCACCTGGCCAGTGAACTCACTAAAATAAATTGAAGCCAGCTTCACAGGTGGGACCTCAAGCAACACCTCCCACCCTCAACCAAAAAGCATTTCCTGATTCATACCCTGCCCTGTCTCTACCCTCTTCCCTTCCAAGAATGCCTCATCACACTGAGGCATATCCCAAGTACTTAATTTCTCTTTCCCTCAGGTCTGGACAGCATTCTGCAACACACCCCAACTCACATAGCCTTGGGCAAAGCTTTATGGTCCATGATTGATTCCCAAACCTAGGAATGGGCTAAGGTTACATTTCTCTTCCGGGGTAGCTTTGTTTTCCCTGGAGTTCTTAGTTGCTTTTAATTCTTTGTGTGGTTTGTCTTTCTGGTGTCCTTATTCAGCCCGTACTTCTAACTCTCCAATCAGGTGTTCCACTGATGTTTGGAAGAGCCTTTCCTCGGAGCCCTTCTGCTGTACCAAGGGGCGCTATCTTTTGGCTTTGCTCATTTGATCCAGGAAGAAATACAAAATAGTTTGTGAACTAGGGAGCACAACAAAACCAAAACCAAACTAAAACAAATAAACAAAAACCACACACACACACAAACCTACCAAAGGTTACTTTTGCCTACCTCAAAGTAGTGGGAACTTAAAAGTGGTCGTTTTAGAATTTTCTTTACTGGAAGCTGATAGCTCAACAGTAAAGTCACAAACCAGGTATGACTGACTGGCTCCCGGGGGTCATTTCCACCCCCACCTGGGAGTCTTACCACTGGGTACGGAGGACCTTCAGCAGCCCCTGCCTGGAGGGTGGTGGAAGAGAACCAAGCCTTTTAGCATGTTGGGAACACCCAGATGAGTGGTAATAGGCTAGGGGGAGTGTCAGGACCAGAATACAGGGGAACAATTCAGAGGCAAAAGTGAGAGAGAGCAGGAGTGGGTCACTAGTAAGGTGACCCTGGAGACCTTCAAACTTCAAACCTCTCACCCAGCTCACAACACCTGACGGCTTTGGAGGACCCTCTGTAGCAGAGCCATAAAGAGTCCGCCAGGCCCATCTTTAGGAGGGTAGAGGGTTTCCCTGCCCAACTGCACCAGTTCCTGCCTGGTCTTCCCTCTGTCAGAGGCCTTCCAGTCAGGCTGATGAAGCACCAAGTACCAAGACCTGAATGCTGAAGAGGCAGTCAGTTCAGTGGTGTTTGGTGGTGCCCGGGCCTGGGCCCAGTACCTAAAGGCCGGGTGAGAGCCGGCTCCCTGTCCCAGCTCTGAAGCAGCAGCAGAAAACAAGAACACTGGAGCAGAGCCAGGGGTTCCTAGGGTGCTGCCCGGGGGCGCGGTCTCGCTCCCCCCACCCCCCCCGCGCACACCACCCCCTCCTGCGGCGAGGCAGGGCCGGCAGATGGACCGCCGACGACGCGGGGCTTGGGCGTCTGGCCGACGCAGGCGTGCCTGTCGCTGCCAGCGGGACAAAGCCAGCGAGACAAAGGCGCGGCCAACACCTGTCGCTCCTGGCCGGGCTGCCGCTTTTCTCTGCCGAAGCCGCTGCAGCTGCCAACTGTCACGGGCATCAAGTTACCGGGGCCAGACGGCAGCCTCCGCCTGCAGGGCCCAAAGATGGAAGGGGGAGGAGCCGAGAGGGACTGCGCGCGGGGTGGAGGCGTGGGGGTAGGGTAGGGACACGAAGGGGACTCGCGGGGGTGGGGGTGGGCGTGGAAAGGGGTGGGGGGCAGGGAAATGTGACAGCATCAGATGGGGTTGCCGAGGGACTAGGAGGTGAGGGGAGCTTAGGCAGGTACCGGGTGGTGAACAAGGAAGGGGAGGCTTGACGCGGGGGGGGTTGGGAATAGAGAAAGACAAGGTTGGGCAGGTGACTTAGAAAGAGCTCAGAGAAAGAGAGGTTGCAGTGAGGACGACTGAGGACCTTGGTCTAAGGTTACAGGTGTCCTCACGAGTCCACAAAAACCTCAAGGGTCCGGGGCCGTCCCTATTCCTGCAGCTAAGTTGGTCCCCACTTTGCACTCTCGTCACCCGTGACCAGAAGCCTCTTCCAGGTCCCGAGGGCACAGACTTGACTTTGGCACTGCCCCACCTGAAGCCCACTTTGGGCCCCCCACCCCCACCCCGGACTGGACCGCTATTCTCAGGAGGCACTTTCGGTGAACCAAAGGAAGCGAATGCGCTGTAAGGATGGAGGCAGGGCTGGATGGAGTGGATGCATGGATGCACGGCCAGAAGAATGGATAGCTGAGTCCCGGCTCACAGGCTGGCAGATCTGGGCTCATAACTCAGCAGAGGGAGCTACAAGTACACCAGCAAGGCAGAAGCCCGAGGTCACTGTCCCGGAGTCCCGCCCCTGCGGGAGGGGCAGGAGGTCCGGCTGTGGGCTCCGCCTCGCCAGCTGCCAGAGGCCCGGGGGGGGGGGGGGGGCGGGGGCCTGACAAAGCGGGCCACTCTCATTGGATGCAGGCAGCCTCGCGGCTGGCAGCTCCGGCCACGCACAGCCAATCGGCGCATTGACATGCAAATAAGTTGCTATAAAAGGGGCGGGGCAGCGGGGGGCCGGAAGACTCCGAAGAGTTATTGAGGCCTCCGGGCTGCCACCCGCCTGGCAGTGTGGTTTGCACTCAGCTCCCGGCGCCCGACTTCGGGCGCTGCGGACCATGTCTCCGCCTCTGGCGCCCAGCCGGGACCGTGCAGGCCACGAGGATGAGGACCGCTGGGAAAGACGGGGGGACCGCAAGGTGCGGGCAGGGGCCCCGGGCGGATGGGCTTGCGGGAGGCTGCGCGGGCCCGGGGCTCAGTGGCCCGCTTCCCACAGGCCCGGAAGCCCCTAGTGGAGAAGAAGCGGCGCGCGCGGATCAACGAGAGTCTGCAGGAGCTGCGGCTGCTGCTGGCCGGCACCGAGGTGCGACGGGAAGGGCGTGGGAGGTTGCAGAGTGCGAGCCGGAGCTCACGGCCCGACTCAATCCCCTTCCCCTCTGCGCAGGTGCAGGCCAAGCTAGAGAACGCCGAAGTGCTGGAACTGACGGTGCGGCGCGTGCAGGGCGCTCTGCGGGGACGGGCGCGCGGTGAGTGGCAGCGGGAATCGAGGGCGGGGGCTCTGACCGGGCACGCCTGCTATCCAGGAGCGGGACGCGATGGCTCCCGGGGTCCGGGTCCTGTCCACGGCGAGGGCTCCCCGCCCAGAGCAGGACACGCCAGTGTGTCTCCTGGGTGAGTCCCGAAAGCGCGGAGCGGATTGTTCGAGCTATAGTAGTCACTGCTCACGGTGCGGGATGCTGCTCTCTTCTTCCCACCCTCCTGCGCAGAGCGAGAGCAGCTGCAGGCTGAAGCAAGCGAGCGCTTCGCTGCTGGCTACATCCAATGCATGCATGAGGTGCACACGTTCGTGTCCACGTGCCAAGCCATCGATGCCACCGTCTCAGCTGAACTCCTGAACCACCTGCTAGAGTCCATGCCACTGCGTGAGGGTAGCAGCTTCCGGGATCTGCTGGGGGACTCCCTAGCTGGCCTGCCTGGAGGCCCTGGGAGGAGCAGCTGGCCTCCAGGAGGGTCTCCAGGGTCCCCATTGTCCAGTCCCCCAGGTCCCGGGGACGACCTGTGTTCTGACCTAGAGGAGGTCCCGGAGGCTGAACTAAATCGGGTGTCTGCTGAGGGGCCGGATTTGATACCTACATCCTTAGGCAGCCTGACCGCAGCTCGCCTGGCCCAGAGTGTATGGAGGCCTTGGTGACCAACAACACTAACCAGGGACCTGTGGAGGGTGGGCTGCCATCCTTAAGTCTACCCCCCCAACCCCACCCCCAGATATCAGATGAGGTGGAAACAGTCCAGGTATACCTTCCCCATACTTTCAATGGATGACTTGGATGGCAACCCTGATGGCCAGCCCCTGCAGGCCCCTACCCCTGTTTGAGGGAATCAGTTTCATGGACCCTATAGCTCTGGATGGGGGGGGTAGGCTACAGAAAGGGGGGAGACTCCTGTCAGAGCTGACAGGGCTCCCCCCATGTTCACCTGTCCCTGCCTTTCAGGCATTCTAAGGGACCTAGGGCAGAAGTGGCTAATCCTGAGGCTGAGCGTTAGTGTCCTAGGTAGGGACACCCCAGGCCATAGCAGTCCTGACCTGAATAGTTCAGATCTGCTGCTTCAGCCCGGAGACCAGGGGAGGCAGGCGCCTTCCACAGGGTCACTGAGAGCTGTTCCTGTTTGTAAGACACTTGAGTGTGTGAATTTGGTTGCCATCACATGCTCCGATTGAATTAAATAAAGAACTTTGGAGTTAGTTGCCCCTGGTGTACGTACGGTCATTGACGTGTCCGATGTGTGAATGCTCAGCTAAGCACACATTTCCTGCATCTAACACTAGTGAACGTCCGTTTGCAGCATTCACCCTTTGTCAGCAAAGGGCATTCATGGTGCTGGTAGAGACACCCCCATTGCTGGGCAGATCCTCTAGGCTGTCCCACTTTCCTAGGAGTATGTGTCCTAGAGGACTCCACTAGCATGGGGTTTGTCTCCAGGATAGTCAAGCCGTAGGGAAATGACCTGTCCCTATACTGTTCTCTCCTGAGTTCCAGGGACGACACTAGGGACTAGTTGCTAGTCCTTTGCCTTGGACATGTCTTTCATAGAAGGTTCATGAGTATGGTGTAGATGTTAATCTTCCTTAGGTTGTACTTTTTTTTTTCCCCTTTTTAAAAATGTTATTTGTGCCGGGCGGTGGTGGCGCACGCCTTTAATCCCAGCACTCGGGAGGCAGAGGCAGGCGGATCTCTGAGTTCGAGGCCAGCCTGGTCTACAGAGCGAGATCCAGGAAAGGCGCAAAGCTACACAGAGAAACCCTGTCTCGAAAAAAACAAAAACAAAAAAAAAATTATTTGTGCCAGGCAGTGGTGGTGCGCACCTTTACTCCCAGCAGAAGGGTAGATCTCTGAGTTCCAGGACAGCCAGGACTACTCAGAGAAACCCTGTCTTAGAAAAAAGAAAAAAGTGTGTGTGTCTGTATTATAGCCATGCATAAGGAAGTCAGCGTATTGGAGCCCATCTAGATTTCCTAGTGGCTGTACCCAGCAGGACGGCATGAGAGGTTGATTGGACCACGGCCCTGAGTACCAGGTGTTTGTAAGGGTCTACACTTGGCTGTATCTAGCACAGGGGAGGTCTTTTGCCCTGCTCCCTGGCATTGTTATAAAAAGCCCTTTGGAATAAATTTCTGTGCCGGTGGATAAGGATCCAGGTCCACCTGAGACTATCCTGCATTTCTATTTTTTTCTCTTCCCTCTTTATTTCTACCTAAGTCTCTTATCCCTGACTCCTCAAGAGTCCCTGGGGTAAATAAATGTGGGAGCTGGTCTCCCACATCAGAGGATGACTTTGGGGAGTCTTGTCCTTCCCCTGTAGTTTTCAAACTTGGGTCTTCAGGCTTTTTGGGGAAGCCTTTTCTGAACCATATGATGGACTCGGCTTGTCACTTTTCTTGAATGTAGACGTTTCCCCTGGTGCCACTGCAGAGACATGGAGTGCCAGCCAATTTCATTGGCTCCAGGCAACTTGTGTCTGAGGTTAGGCCAGACCCTGGAGGTCAGAATCCTCAGGGAGGAGGAAGTTGATGGAATGGGCCGCTAGTCTACAGATCTCCAGTCAGTTAGCAGCAGTCACTGGCACTGATAGAGAGCCTCTTCCTCTCTGGGACCCCCAAGTAGATGGTTTTCAATGGGCTGCAAGCAGGCAGGTTGACATGTGAAGGTTTAGGATTGTCATCTGGGTCTCTTCTTAGGTCATGTGCCTTTAAGAGCATCTTTCTCAAAAGCTGGATAGCAGCTTCCGGTCCCCAGAGTGTTTCAGTATTTGGGGTTCATCTCTATGCCAGGTTAGAATCCATGCAACTTAATCTTAGCATTGGGGCTGATCTTTGGGGAGCTGGAGGAATGGAAATGTTATCCCTGGGGCTATTTTTCATCACCTCAGACTGGTGTAGAGTTCCCCAGGGGCACAGAGAATGGGTCCCCTTGCATGGCCTCTGTCACTATCTAGAGGCCAAAGCACTGATACCACTGTTGAGAGCACTAGCTAGGGATTGCTCAAGGAGCATCTCTGTTCTGCTAGCAGCTCTTGCGTCTTCCCACAGGCCCCTGGACAAGGGAGAGGCCTTACTCCTTTCGCAAGGTGACTTGGAATAAATGAGCCACTAGGCCTGGGACATGCTCAAGGTCAGACGCCACTGACCCTAAGCTCCAGCCCTATGCTCCTCCCACCCCCAGCCAACCTCTTTGCAATCCTCAGGCACAGTCTCTCTCTCAGAAGTGGAAACGCTTCTGCAGTGACAACCAGCTGGCACAGTCGGGGACCACAAGTTTCTCTTTCAGCCACATCACTATTTCGCCCTGCCTCCTCTCCCTGCAGCCCCTAGGTTTCCTCACAGGCCCCCTGCTAAGGCATTCGATGGCCTAATTTCCCCTTCTCTGAAAATTGCCACCTCACCCCAAATCTCTGATTCTTTAGTTTCTATAATAGCCACAGCAAGAGACCACAAAGTCGGTGGCTTGAAAGAGCACACATTACCAAGCATTTCCATAGGCTGGGGGAGTCCAAAGCAAGATTCATGGAGCTCAAATCAAGGTTTCAACAGGCAGGGTTGTGTGCCATGTGATGGCTATTCTTGATTGTCAACTTGACTACATCTGCAATTAAGACCCAAGTGGCTGGATACACCTGTGAGGGATTTTTTTTCTTTTCTCCTCTTTTATAACTATTTTTAAAATTTATTTATGTATGTTTTTTTAGATGAGTGCTCTGTCTGCATGTATGCTTGCTTGCCAGAAGAGGGCATCAGATCTCATTACAGATGGTTGTGAGCCACCATGTGGTTGCTGGGAATTGAACTCGAGACCTCTGGAAGAGCAGCCAGTGCTCTTAGCCACTGAGCTATCTCTCCAGCCCCCTGGCATTTTTTTTTTCTTAATTAAATCATTTGAAGTGCAAGATCCACTTTTCATGCAGATCTTTTTTTTAAGATTTATTCATTTATTATGTATACAATATTCCTCCTGCATGTTGCCTGCAGGCCAGAAGAGGGCACCAGATCTCATTATCAATGGTTGTGAGCCACCATGTGGTTGCTGGGAATTGAACTCAGGACCTCTGGAAGAGCAGCCAGTGCTCTTAACCTCTGAGTCACCTCACCAGTCCCTCATCCAGATTTTTGGGGTAGGAAGATCCACCTTTAATCTGAGCCACACTTCCAGCTGGTGGCCTAAATAAAGGGTGTGGAAGAAGGAAGCTTGCTTGCTTTGCCTGCTTGCTCTCGCACTCACTGGTAAGTCCATTCCTTCACTGGCATTAGAGCCTACTTCTTCAGGATTCCAGTGTTTACTGAAAACCGCTGGAGACATCCAACCTCATGGACTGAACAACTGGACTCTTGGACCTTCCATTGGTAGACAGCCACTGTTGGACTAGCTAGACCACAGCCTGTAAGCCATTCTAAGAAAAAAAAAATCCCCTTTATGTAGCTAACAATTTATATAACTATAGATTCATCCTATAAGTTCTGTTCCTCTAGAGAGCCCTGATTAATACAGATTTTGGTAGCAGAAGTGGTTATAGAGCAACAGAAGTATAAGGATGAATTCTTTAAGTATCTGGAACAGGCTTTGCAAATTGCCAACACCTATAGTTACTGAAGCCTCTCTGGCCATGGGCACCTCTCTTGGCAGCCCATGGTGCAAACTATTTTACAGACCTAAAAAGACAAATGTATTTGATTATCTTGACTGACCAATTATGAGAGGCAACAGATTTGGTGAGTCTGTACATAAAATTTTGACAATTTGTGGAAAAATAAGGAAAATGGTGATGCTGGTTGGTTGCTCCTAGCATCTTTGGATAAATTGACCAAGGAAAGGAATGAGTTCTGTGATAAGATTAACCAACTTCTAGCATCTTCTGCCTAGCTGTTGACCATCCAGCTCTTCATGGGACCAATCAGGTGCCTTAGGCAGGCAAGGTGAAACAAATGTAATACATCTTTTTACATAGTTAAACAAATGCAGCATAAACAAAAGTAACACCTTTATATCCTTAACAAAGGCAGCAGAAACAAATGTAACACAGAGTTAAAGTAATATTCTGCAGTATAAGCAGATGTAACACATCTTTGCCTAGTTAAAGTAATATTCCACAACAAATGGATTTTAAGGGTATGGGATAATGGGAGAGAGAACATTAAAAACTAGATCAGAGGGGTTGGGGATTTAGCTCAGTAATAGAGAGCACTTGCCTAGCAAGCACAAGGCCCTGGGTTCAGTCCTCAGCTCCGACAAAAAAAAAAAAAAAAAAAAAAAACTAGATCAGGCTGAGCTTATTGATATGGACCCACTGAATGGCAATCCTATGTTTAGTATGGAATTTTGCCCAGTTAAAAAAGGTGTCAAAATTTTGTTTAAATAGTTGGTTGAAGTATTTGTCAAAAGATGGCCTACTGACAAGAAGTTGGAAATGCCTGCTATCCCTTGGCTTGGTGTTGATAAAATGATTTTTTTTAAACTATTTTTTATGTGTGTTGATGTGAAGGTGTCAGATCCCCTGGAACTGGAGTTAAAGACAGTTGTGAGCTGCCATGAGGGTGCTGGGAATTGAACCTGGGACCTCTGGGAGAGCAGCCAGTGCTCTTAACCACTGAGCCATCTCTCCAGCCTGACTTTAAGGCTCAGGGAAATTCCAATGCTAGAGTGGGTGCACTGTGTAACACCTGCTCCCCCACAGTGGGAAGGCCCAGGAGACCTGCCCTTCACTAATCACATAAAACACAAGACGGGCAGAGGGGCACCCGCACACTTGAAGATCTTTGTTGTCACCCTCTTCCTTGGGCCAGACCTTAGGGATGGAGATGCTGCTGCTTAGCTGGATGGACTAAATGCACTGGGTTTAACTGGGCCTGGAAGCAGCAGGGGCCAGGTGGCAGCACTGAATGCCAAAGGCAAGGTCATTGTAATTACCATAATGGGCAGCACAGACAAAGCAATGTCCATAAGAGCCTGACCTGGTCAGCACAGGCAAAGTGATTTTTATGTGGCACGATTCATATGGACCTTTGGTACTGGCTAATCAACCATGGTGTTTCCAGGCATGAAATGGATAAGAAGCCTGCTGTATTTTGTTTGATCTATAAAAATTTTCAAACAAATGAAAGAAAGGCTCCATTGGATCATAACAAAAGGCAATCTTGGCCTGTGAACCCATTTCCATACTTGAGCTTGTTTGCAGACTCAGAACCCCTCGAAT